TTCAATAGCTAGTTAGAGATGTTTGTTTGAGGCTTGAACAGAATTTATCATTGAAAATGACTTGATTATGTGTTGTTGGTTTTAATATATAAATGGTACAATAGTAATAAACATTTTGGTGTAAGGAAAATACAAAGCAGTTGTAAAAAATCTTCAGGAATTGCACTCTTAAGAAAATTGGTTTGTAATAAGAATGTGATTTTAGGTATTTTGTGTGCATTTGTAATTTTTCAGGGCATGTTCTCAGTGGCACTTGAGCTCGTAGCTTATTGCTGAAGTCGGCTTAGGCTTTTGTAGTTATTTTCAAGCCTTTCTGCTTGCTACCTCATTTCTGTTGACATTTTCACAGTTGTGTTTCTTACTTAAGGATTCCTGCCTTAATAAAGAATTTCTGTTTCTTAAAGTAGTCTGTCTTTTTACTTTTTTTATTTAGATAAAGCATACATCACATTTTTGTTTCTGTCTTCTGGAAAAAAACAATGTTTCTGTATTTTCATAACTAAAAGTTTTAGCATTTTTTTCCTTGAAGTAAAGACGGTGAAATTTAAGTTTTTTGCTTTCATGAATAGTAGATCTTATTTCTATTAAATTCCTAATTTGTAATGTTGCTCATTCTTTAAAGGCTTTTCATTTTTCCTGTGTATATTTTTAAAAATTCTTTTTAAAAATGGAAGAAAAAGAATATATATCAGGGGATTTGTAAATTATTATATACTCATTTTTGCAACTGAAAGTGTCTGAACTATAACTGGGACTTTTTACATAAAAGACATTTCTGTATATGCAGGCATGTATACGTTTATTCTACAGTAATTCTGCATGGCAATATATAGTGAAACCTGTACAAAGCTCACTTTTTATAACTCTATCTCTCCCTTTAGAGCAGTGATGGATTTCTACATGAGAATTAAGTTAGCTTTTTGTTTCTCCTTTGTCAATAAACTGTCTGTATGTGTTTTATTTTCTCTTGAGTGGTTGGTTAGCACAGGTTTCACTGTTTAAAACACAGAAGATATTTTACTGTTGATTTGTGAAGAAGTGGCCATCTTAGTTTACTGTCTTTAATTAAACTAACTGAGATTTTTACTGAATACCAGTAATATCACTAATACTTACTATTATTCTGTTTATTTCGGATGCAGTTAACAACTGCATTGTAACATTGCCAAGAAAACTTTGACTGTGGTTCAGAAAATATCAGGCCTTGTTAGATCAGTATGATTTAGAAAACTTAGTCTGGTGTACTAATTGTTGTTATTCCAATTATATTTGATATGTTATGCTTAGAAACTGTTGATTTGCTAATTAACATGATCAATTTTGGTCATAAGATTTCAAAGAAGGCACATATGAATACCTAACAAAGCATAATCACTTAGTTTATTGGCAAGCATATTATTTTCAAGACAGTGGTTTAGATGGCCATTTTTCATTCAATGCTTTCCACTGCCAACCAATAGTAGTTTAAGAATTGTGACTGTATGGATGCATGAAGTGCTGTAGCATGGTAGTAAACGTGTCTGATGAGCTGATTTTCTTTGTTTCATTGTGAAAAATGGGTAACTGGTAAAGGAATCTAGGAATTCCTCATTTCGAGGAATGTTCTGTAGAACGGGTTTTGGATATCGTCCTCAGATGAGTCCCTAAAAACTTCGAGTAGAATGAGTGAGAAACCAGTTAGTTTGCAAGGTAACTTTGAGAGAGTGAACGTTGTCCTGAACACCGAATCAGGCTGTACTGCTTCTTGCCAGCTAATGTGCTTGTCTCATGATCTCTCATTTAATATAAAAGCTACAATTTTTTGAAAAGAGAATTAAATTAAAATTACTGGATTGTTCAGATGAGTAATTTAAATGAATGGAGTTAAAATCTGTTTCTGCTGGGATTAAATAAGAAAATTTGTTCTTGAAGAAAGAGAAGATAGTTTTAAAAGCTATAGTGTAGTAAAATATTTTATTGTATTATATGCATGGGAATAATTCAGGCTTGTAGTTGAAATGACAGTGTTACCTTCTTAGAAAATTATCTTGCATTGTTGTCTGTGTCCAAAAAAAATTTCCTGAGGAATTTCAGCTTTCTATTAAAGCAAACAAATTCGAAAGCTTAGCCCAATTTTTAAAGAAAATGTGTAATGGTTATAGCTGTGATGAAGAGGGTATGAAAAATGTGACCGAAGTATTGATTTGGGCCTTAGAAGCCAGATAAGTAACTCAAAACCAGCCACTCAGCCCTTTCTGCACCTTTGGTACTTTGATAAAATCTCGTGCCTTGAAGAGCCTGGTGCACTGTTGAGGATTCGGCGGTGCGTAGACTGCCTCGCTCAGCCAGCGCAGGGTCACCTTCAGTCCCTGTAAGAGTGACACGGTGACTCTACAGCTCTTCACTGCGGCTGCTGCTGGAGAGCAAGAAAGAGGCTTTAGTGAGGAATATCGCTGGAGTTGGATATCTTTTTTTTTTTTTTTTCCAAAACATTCTAGTTTGTTTCATTCTTTCTTGCAAGTTACGCAAAAAAGTTTCCGTAATTTTCTATTTTCTGTTCATAGCACTGTTATATTCCCAACTTAATTGCCAGTTCTATGTTATAGGTGCTCTGGACAAAATTGTGACGTTTATTCAAATTCTTAGAAATTAATCTCTTTACCTTCCTCATCATTTTCACCCCTTTACATCCCTTAGCATTGAATTATTTTTCCTGAAAGGACTTATTTGTGGCTCAGCGTTTCTCATCAACAGTCACACTGAAGTCAGTGGGAAATAGTGGAAAGAATCAAGACATGCAAAAAGACAATGTTTTGGTCGCTTGTGAAAATAGGACACAAATACTTTAGTCATGAGGAACTTTTAAATTTAAGAGAGAGTCATACTCAACTGAAGTACAGCATTTTAACTTTTAATGCAAAACAATGTATTTTTTTAAAGCATTTGCAGTAACAATGTCAGCACTTGTTTTGCCGTTTTTTTTATTTATTGTGCACCCAGATTCTCATGATGACTTTGCAGGATTGGTGCCACTGTGTTTGTCAACTAGTTTCATTCCCCTTTACATTGTTTCTTTGATAATGAAAATAATAATACAACAGTTGTAAACAACTTGCTTTTTGAAATCACATTAATTGACAAATGTTCTTTTTTCTAGATAAAATTCTTTGAAATAAATACAATTGTACCCTGGAATAATTGTTTGGTTTTTTTTGTGAGGGGAAAAACAATGATAGTGTCCAATGACAGACATGTAAACGTTTTTGTTTGTATCCTGGTTCATACCAGCCTGAGTGGTGTGTGTATAGTTCCGTGCTATTTAAGGTTCTTGATTTTTATTTTTATTTTTTTAATTCGAACCTATAGAGTAAGAAATAGAAAATAAAGGAAATAATCTTATTAACTGATATATGCAAAGAATAAAGTGTTATTGAGAAGTCTTTAAATCACTGTATTTTTTAATTTAAATAATTTATTAAATGGGGTAACTGCAGTTTAAAAGGGCTTTTCATACTTTACTATGGAGTAAAAGTCACATGGACCAGATATCTTAAAAGTAATTGCACAGTAAACAGTTATATTGGGTGACTTCAAGCACTTGTTACAGCTCTTGTTTAAGTACTAAAAGACCTTCATGGCAGGCTTTGTTCAGTGTTTTTTCTTGACCCATAGCATAATGTTTAAAGGGCCTGTGTTAGGTTGTATTGAGAGTTTCCTTGTTTGCAAAATGGCAAAATATTGTTATTGTTCCCCTAATACTAAGTACAGCTGTGAAACTGTCCTTCCTTGCTGCTGTATAGAAACAAAATATTTTGTTTTACCTGAGTGCTTGGCACAGCTCTAATGCATTCACAAATGTGAAGATTTTTCTATTTTTCAAATGTTACACAAATCCCTATTTAACGAATGTTTATATTTGGTCATTTGATTGTCTTTCTTTTATCTGTTCTCTCCTGTGTTATCCTTATGTGTACATGCCTGTGTGTGTATTTCATGCAACAAATGTGTAACTCAATGGTAGATGTCTTGAATTCTTACACCAAAGTTCTATTTCAGGGTTTGTTTTGATTCCTGAAGCGCATTTTTGAAACCTTTCATTTCACTGAATGCTTTCTTAGAATAAGATGTAGTATTTTCTAAGGAGATTTATTTAAATAGCTCATTAATACTTTTGCCTACGTTCTCTGAAATAAATTGTACATAAAATTCCAGTAGGTGCTGGCATAGTTTCTCAATCAATTTTGAAAAACAGTTTACCATTACAAGGATATTTGGTGTGAAGGGAGAAGAGAAGAAAGCTAAGCTTTGTGGAAACTCTGAATGAGGGAAGGAATAAATATTGAGATGCAGGGATTTTGAAGTGATCAGGAAGGGTTATGACCACATGAATTTAAACTGCAGTGTGTTACAGAAGTGGAGAGGGTGCTTTTTCTTTCTTTATGCTGCAGAAACTGTTTTGCTTCTCCTAGCTTGAGAAAGTTATTTAGGAGGCAAAATAATCCTTCTATAAACTGTCTGCATTACTGGGAATAAGAATAAAAAAAGAACTTTTATGTTACTGACAAAGTTGAGCCTATTAACTGTTGTGCACAACTTTGTGTAGAATATCCAGAACGCTCTCTTTAAATACATGCATGGTTAAGGTATGAAAAACTGCTGATAATTGAGAACTTCTGGTATGAATAATTGAAATGAAATCCTGAAACCTTTGAGAATATTTTAAAGATAAGATAGTTTATTTTTTTTTAAGATTTAGATGCTTAGTTAAAGTTGAATATCATTAAAAAATGTAGCTAAAAGTTTGTTTTGTTCTACCTGGATTTGCAAAATGCATGGTTTTGCTGGCTATATCCACTCCCAGCTAGCTAGCAAGAGATCTTGCTAATGAAACTTCACTTTTGTTTGAACTGACCCATTCATAGCTGTTTTTCATCTGTCTTTGTCGTGCCCTTTGGTTTAACTTTGTTTTCCTTACACCCCAAATTTTTCCTCTCCTTTTTATTATAAACTCATAGCAGGGCCTGCTTGGTGAACTCATTCTGTTACAACAACAAATCCAGCAGCACGAAGAGGAAGCACGCAGAGCCGCTGGCCAATATAACATGGGGTCTTCCCAGCAGAAGCGAAAGGTGATGGCTTAAGGGACCATATGTACTGTATTCACACTAATCAAATACTTCAGCCTTCTGTATTTGAACTAGAAAAATCTGACTGATTAAATCATGGGCCCAAATTATTATTACAACTTCACTACAGATGTATAGTCGTGTTTCAGTTTAACCAAGTTACACTTAAAGCCTGGTGTTAAACCAGGCTGCATTTTTTAACCTGGTTGCTGCTTTAACCTGGTTGTTAAAGCAAACCAGGTACTTTGTGTCACTTTGAAATTTTATGTTCTCTGCCTCTATAAAAACTGTTTTTTAAAGTTCGTACATTAAAAATGCACTTAAAGAAAGTATGTCAATAAATGTCATGTCTGTTTTCTCTACTTTGGCTTGCTTGCGGTAGGTCTGTCTTGTAAGAGTATAGCTACTTACAGGCAACCTGTCTCTGGGAACATTTTTTCCTGGTTTATACTGTTACCAATCTGAAAAAGATGGCAACTCCTTAGAAACAATTTTGCACAGCCAATTAAATGCTGCTGTTAATAAGTCTCTACTGTATATTCATCAAAGGTATTCCTTTATTTTCCCTCTTAAAGCACAGTTTATACTGAGATGCTGTGGTTGTTGAATATCTGCCACATCACTTTACTTACTTAATTTAAGCTCTGATCATTTTATTCCTTATTATATGGCTGAGATGAATTGGAAATGCTTCCTAAATTGGGATATTTTAGTTGTCTAATCTGTTACAACTCGTAATTTTTAACCACATTACTTTGTTAGCTGCTTCTATGCCTCCCAAAAATCTGTCTGATTACTCATGTTTTTCAACAGCTTTGGAATTGAGCACTGGATACAGAACTTAATCTTCTGTACATCTGAAGATAACTCCCACAGAAAGAGGAACACAGTAAATGTGAATTAAACTTCTAGACATAGTTGCATAGCTGCAATTGTCATGCTTTTTAGTCCATCAACAGAGGAAATCACTGTTCTCTGAAACTATAGTAGTGTTTTAAACGTAAATGTTTTACTTTCTTGCCATATTTTTTTTATTGTTTAGAGTTACAACTCCTGACCACTCTAAACTGTTAATCTTCCTTTAATTAAAAAAAATTATGAAAGGCAATTTTTCCTCATATTTCATTTTTCAAATATCCTGTCTGGATTTAAAATGGCACTGATGTATTCTGTCCTCAGTTAGGAATCTAGGCATTGTATAATGAAGTACAACAGAAATGCAATTATTTGAGATAAAATAATCTCAATAGATGTCCTACTAATGTCCTCGCATTCATTCCTTTCCAGATGTGTATTTTAGTAGAAGAGTGAGGATGTCTTCAGTGATCTAAATACTCTCTATTTGTTCAGTTACTCTTTTTTTAAATAAAAGTAACTCCTTCAGCCTCCGTCAGATTGTATACAGTTTATTGAGAGAGCTGGAATATGGAATAGTAGCTTGAAGTTTATAATAAAATGTATGAAGATGTAAAAATTACTGGGAAGGCAATACAATATTTGATATGTAAAAATGTATCAGCCTAATAAATGCAATTGGGAGGGGGAGAGGGAAGAGCTTGATACTACTTCTTTTCTGATTGAAATTCTACCTTATTAGTTCTTTCTTGGAACTAATTCTGCAATTCCCAAGCTGTGAAATAAATGTAAGCGTTATCTTTGAAATGTTATCCTGTCCTCCAAGGGAGGTACCTGTGTTTTCTGAGTGTTGAAATGCTAACTTCCCTTGCATATAAAAAAAATATTAATTTAGCATTCAAGTGTGCTGTTTGACATACATGCCTAACAACAATGAATGTCATTTTTTATCATACTAATTGTGAAACAGATTGAAAGAGATCGTAAACTATTATCTTTCATATCTTAATATGAGGATATAACTGAAAGATTCCAATCATTGATCTAAATTCTCCTTTGGAAGAAGAAATTGTTACTGTCACTGCAATAAGTCATTGCATGCCCTTTTGACAAGGCATAGGGCATAAACTAACCTTGTTAATTTTTTAACTGAGTTGGCTGTCTTGCCTGTCTACTACAGAACATGATCATTTCATTTGCATTCTTAGAAGTTCTGTTGCCAAATTTACTTGCACATTTTCCATTTTAATTTAATTACTCAATATTAAATTTATTTCAGTTGTAAATTGAGTAATAATAAGAACTATCTCCGATCAGGCGAGTGTATTAAAAACAAAAATATAATTGTTTCCTGTTGATATTTGTTTTTGTCAGCCTTTCGATAAATATTTATCAGTATAGTTGATGAGTCTTGTATCGCTGCACTGTGCATAGCTGCTTCTTACATACCTTTTGTCTGGGCCTTGATATTTTCATTTGTATTACTGGAAATTATTGTAGTTCTTCTGTAGATAATCAATTTGGAATTACTTACAGTCTGGATAGAGAATATACAAAACCTCTGACTGGGATTTCAAAGCTATTGAATTTTCAGAGGCACATACTTAGCTTATACCGTGTCTGACAAAGCTTCTTGGAAAGCTACTGCTGTGCAAAATGAGTAACTCCATAAGGAGCTTCTGGTAATCTTAGTAAACAGGTATCTGCATCTTTGTGTGCAGGAACCCTTGATTAAAAATGGCCCTACAGTTTTCCTTTCTCATAACTCTTTATGATGGCAATGGAGAAAGAAAGAGGAATCTTAATGTACAAACCATGCTGAACTGGATTAAACAAGTATTGATATGCCTATATGGAGATATTTTAATATTTGATTTTTTTATTTGTGTGTAGAAATCATAGATCATTGATTAGCCATTATGTGACTGTTAGTACTTCAGATTGTTATGACAGTTTTAGCTTTCATTGGCAACTTAAAAAATTTTTAGCAATATTATGAATTACATGTTTAAAATACTCTATGTACTAATGTTCAAAGCACACCCGGACCAAACGCTGAAGCATATACATCATTCTCGAGCTGTTTGTTATTTTTGACAGAGCTTACCTAATTGTCCTTGTTAGAATTAATCATCTAGTGCTAGATAATTTTTTGCTTCAGATCTTACAATATGTAGCTGTGTGCAATATTTTTGCTTAGTGTGTTTAACATAAGTATACTGTACATAAAGGACAGTGCTCATGTGGTTAAAGGTAATCTATAAGTATGTACTTCAAAGATGCATCAAGGCCCAGTAGTACTTTCAGGAACAGCTTGTTTAAGAGCAGAGAGCAGGAAGGCGTTAACTGATTTGAAAATCTGCAGCACATGGAAACACTTTGTTTTACTTTTCTTTCCTTTATTTCCTTGCTTCTTCTGACTCTCCACACCATTCGCTTTGTCCTTCTGTTTTCATTTTCCCTTATGTCTCTGAGGTGTTTAAAGTGTGTGTGTATATGTAAATGTTTATTTGCATATACCTGCATGCATCCAGTTGTCTGTGTGCTAAACTAACCGTGTTTCTGATGCACTTTTGCTGTCACTGAACTAATGAACAGAACTGAAAAAGAAGTCAATTTACAGCACTTCTTCTCTGCTCTTGATGGATAAGAAAATAAATGGATATAGATGGAAGTGTCAGCTTGGGTTACTTTCTGTAAAGTGCAGGTACAATCCTGTACATTACAGGTTTAATAGCTAAGTAGTATCAATCACCATGAATAACTGGATTTTTTTCTTGTTTAATCTGTAACAACTGGTGTGAAATGATAGTAACTAAATTGATTTGTGTCTAAATGACAGCTGTCCTCTGCATGTTTGATAGCATGCTCTTTCTCATGCGAAGCTAACTTGAGTTGTAAATGTCACGAGCTTTATTACATGAGCTTTGTGTAAATATCGAAGCTTTTACTTATATTATTCTTTCAGTAATTGTTTATATTTTTTTCTAAATTTAATGTTTCATCAACCATTAGATTTTGTGGTTTGTAAATACTTACATCATACGAATTTGTATTGCACCATTTATGCTTTTGTCTTTGTGTTATTAAGAAGGAATTTTTTTGAATGACTCTATTACATCTTGATGAACCCATTTTAAGAATATTTAACTAAGAATGGCTCTAATTGCCTGATCTTATTATATTCATGCTTTGAACTCAAAATGTTTTGTATTATAATATCCTTTTTTTTCCCATTTTTAATGTAATTTAAATAATTTTAAAATAACCCTTTGAGACTGTCCTGACTAACTACTGTTTATGAAGTTGTCCATGAATGTTTAGGATTCTAATTCTGGAAAACAAATATGAAATAAGAATCACCTTGAAGATTCAGAAATAGTGAATGCTCACCTGAAAGTAATTTCTGTAGATAGCAGGTGTCGTAGTGATTGTATCCTATTAAGGCAGTGCTAATTCAGGAAGTGATCATACGAGATCCTGAGAGTTTGATCAGTAAAATTACATTTAGGGCAGTGACTGGAAGACTCTGAACGTCATATAGAGTTTACTTTTGCCTAAGCCCACTTTCCTAGAATTAAGTCTTGAAGGGTTAATTTTTGCGTTTGCATGTACTGGAATTCAGACTTTTTTTTTTGATGCGAACCTCCTGTTGCAGATGGAACTCTCCATCAGCGTTAAATCTCAAATGCTGATTGAAGAATTTTACTTGCTTTAAAATGCATGTAAAGTCAATTTTCTAATGTGGAATGAAGCTTTCAGTTTGTGGTTTGGTTACTTGCAGTGGATAAACTTAAACAATGTGTTAGTAGCCATGATTATTTTTCTTTTAGGTTTCTGACAAAGAGAAGATTGATCAGCTTCAGGAAGAACTTTTACGCACTCAGGTAACTTTTCAGAGTTACTGATGTTAAGAGTAGAGATTTATGTAGAGCAGACTCAGATTTACTAGGCAAACACACACCTGAAATATCTTGTGTTTGGTAAAAACGCAGTGCTTTTTTCAGTCTTTGAGTTTATCAATATGGAGTCGACTGTGTTGGCACAGACCAAAGGTCAGTCTGGTCTTTTTTCTCTGACAGTGACTGACAGCATGCAAGAGGTGAGCGTAAGAATAGGGCAAATGCGTGATCATACTTTCCCAAAATACCTTCCTTGCCCTCAGTGCTGTATATTCCTGAAATGTAAAGTTAGCCCAAGAGTGTTATGTAAATATAATGGTGATACTCCAGTTTTTACCTGGTTATGCATGCTAATTTTACCCCTAACATTCTACAGTTCTCTTTTATAACTTCAATGCTACTATGTATGTCTGTGATGTCTTGTGTGTTTAAATGGCACATTTCTGCAGAAGGGAAAGGAGTTTACTTATTGAAGAGTTACATTTGTAACCTCTGTATATATTTGCTAGTTTCTAAAGCATTTTTTACTTACCTTTTTTTATAGAAGCTTGTTTTGTTCTCAAAAGTATACTCAGGCCAGATGCATTTCCACATTGTAGAAAACAGTTTTCAGAGTAGTCAGAGGACTAGCATAATCTCCTTCTAAACATGACTGATCTGGTACAGTTGTTTCTTGAACTGAGGTTGTATACTGAAAAAAGGTCTAAACTAAGCCTGCAAATTCACGTTTAAGCCCTGTGATGTTTTTGATTGAACAGCCCGTTCCCATTGACACTAGTTTCTGTCTGACTTTATATATGTAGCTCCTTTGAAAATTATATTTAAGATGCTTAAAGATTGATGTATGTATCTCCAAGTTTAAACATTACGGTCTTATTAAAACTTCTGAAGCAAAGGTGGTGTGTTGCCAAAAAAAAAAAAAGTCTAAGTCTTCTCTTGATGACCTTGTATTTTTCATGAACTACAGTGATCACGAAGGTTTCTATATTTTTGCAAGGCTTACTTGAAAGATAATATGTTTTATCCTAGGTGAAACTTTGTTTGTATGAGTGTACTGTTTCTGTAATTACAAAAGTATGTTTGTACCACTGTTTTGTAGCTCAAATACCAAAGAATGCTTGAGAGATTAGAGAAGGAGAACAAAGAATTAAGAAAATTGGTACTGCAAAGAGATGACAAGGGGATTCATCAGAGGAAGTTAAAGGTACTTACGTGTTACAAATCAGCATAGAAATATAATTATGCCATATTTTCCATGATGCTATTCTAAATTATATTTGTTGATTTATATGTGAACTTATAATGTTTGTTGTATGATATCTATGCTAATTTTTTGACATGTTAAGACTTTTATATGTCGTGGTTTTTTGAATTATATAACTTTTGGAAACGGCTTCAGTTGAAGAGCACAAAGAGCTTACCAGGTCTAACTAAATAACTTACCTAAGTAAGTGGGGAGCGTGGGTTGGGTGTTTTAATGTAGCTTCACTGTATTTCCCAGTAAATATGCTTCCAACTCTTCTTACACACACAGTCTGATCCCTTTGTGCTTTGTCGTGGGTCTTACTGAGTTTGATAGGAATTTAGTTACTGGGTCAGGAAACATCTTTTAACAACCCTGTATAAATCCAGGGAGATTGAACTAAGTGTGCTTTTGCTTTTGTCTGCCAACATCCTGAGCGTTCTAAAACCAGACATTTTCTGCCTCTCTGCATCACTTGCTCACCAATAAGGATCTTTACTCTGGGAACTGGAGGATAAGGAGTTTTTATTTGTACAGAATGAGGTTGATAGCTTTATACCCTTGTTAATGCTTACTGTTCATCACAATGAAAAAATAAGTCTAGATGTTTAATGGAAGAAACTCAGTTCAACTTCTTAGCTTGGAAACTGTGAAGTCAGCATTGTTTGTTCTCTTATGCTGTACATAAGAGCTCTCATTTTGCTCTTTGAACAAGATACTGCTGTAGCATTTTCATACACAGAAGGCAAGGGATGACTTTACTTCGTATTGTACTTCATAAAACAGAGATCTGTCCTGCAGTATAGACATTTTAGATTTCAAACCATCAGGAGAGAATAAACACATTTTTACAGATGAGTTTACAGAATATACATATGAAGTAGTCTGAAACCCAGTCTTTGTTCTGTTAATTGGCTGTGTTTTCTCTCTGTTCTTTTTTGTTTTGGTAGAAGTCCTTGATTGATATGTATTCTGAAGTACTCGACATCCTGTCTGATTATGATGCCAGTTATAATACTCAAGATCACCTACCTCGAGTAAGTAGATAAGAAATTCAAGTTTTTTAACTGAAACACCAGTCTTGTAGTTGAACAGAACATTTATTTATATACCAGAATAATCCAGAGCTAGTGCTAGGCTGTTTTCTCATAATTCCAGGGTTTTTGCTTAAGACATGTTCTCCATTTTGAGTGCAACAAAAGAATTTTGAGAATAACAATGTAACTATGTTAAGTCTGTCTTGGCTCTTAGATAAACCCTATCTAGATCCAGATATTGCTGCTGTGCTTAGAGTTTCATTTTTAATGGTTTCAGTGAGGGCATCCCACCCTTCTCAGCAGTGTAAAATGACTGTTGTTTCCCAGGGTGTACTAGCAGAGCTGAAATGGTAAGGTGCCCTGGCTACCTTCTCACAGTAGTGCTGCTGTTGGAGGGGGAAACAGGGTTTGGCTACCGTGGCTGCTGGTGTAGGGGAAAGCCAGGAATGCTTCCTGCTTCAACAAGTACATGTAGCACTGGTGGCTCCTATAGAAAGCTGATAAGATGGGGAAGCGACAGCAACTACGTTGGAATTCAGCCTTCTCCAAGCAGAAGTAGCATCTACCAGATGAGTAGTCTTCAGTGTTTCGCCTGCTGAAAGGATTTTGTACAAGGAGAGAAGAACTGACTGCCACGAGAACACCAAGCCCTTCCTCTCTTCATTAGGAGGCCTGGCCGAGTGCTTTGTGGACTGTGCTGTCTTAAGCACCAGTCAATTTTTTTTCATGACTAAAAGTTAGGATTTATTCAATGATTCCATGTCTAAACCAATGCATTTGTTGTCAAACATAATACAGCCAGTGTTGATACAGATTAGCATCTTTTTAGTCAGCTTTTGTTTAAGCTTCCAGAATGCCCTGCTGAAAGCCAATGGCTGTTTAAACTTTCCCTTAAGGTGGTGGTGGTTGGAGATCAAAGTGCAGGAAAAACCAGTGTGTTAGAAATGATTGCCCAAGCCCGCATATTCCCTCGAGGGTCTGGGGAGATGATGACACGTTCCCCTGTTAAGGTAAGAAACATCATGATCTCTGAATCAGCATTTGCCGTGTTGTTCTCCCTCTGATTATGCCATTAATTGATATATGTGAACATTGGTTTATAAAATGACTTCCAAGTGAGATGTTGCAGTCAATAACAAAACTTCTGCAGGCGTATATGTGATCCATTTGTCCTATGACAGTAGTAGTAGTTCCTACTATAAGTAGTCCTGTGCTAAATAAGCATTACATATAGTTGTATGTCTGCAGCGGGAAGTACTCATATGCTGTGTACTTCTCATGTTACTCTGTGTTAGTATACTTTCTCATGTAAGGCTTTTTTCGTTTAGGTAACTCTCAGTGAAGGTCCCCACCATGTGGCTTTATTCAAAGACAGCTCTCGGGAGTTTGATCTGACCAAGGAAGAGGATGTAAGTATAAAGATGTGACTGGAAGTTAATGTGACTTTTATTAATTCTCTGAAAAATTTTGTGTCTTTGTGGGCTGTTAGCCCCTGTTTAATTAAAGGGAAATATGTTTAGTGGGGTAAGGCATTATATTAGTTATTATATTATCTCTTAGTATAGTTTTTGGCTGGCACTGAAGTGGGTAAAATGTAGAAGGAGCTCTTGTGCCAAGACATTTTTGGAGTATGCAGGGGTCTGCAGGTAATCTCTCATTTAGTGTCCTGTTTACTAGACTTAGTTATTCAACATGCATTTGAGACAGTTAGTATTTATAAGCGGAGATCTTAATCCCCAAGTAAACTTTTTTACTTATGTTGATGATTTTTTCTTCTATCACAATATAAGGAGTTTGATATTTTGCTTTTCTCAAAACAGCTTGCAGCTTTGAGAAATGAAATAGAAATCAGAATGAGGAGTAGTGTGAAGGAAGGGTGCACTGTTAGCACTGAGGTAAGACTTGTCAAATATTTAGTGGCAAATATCTGTACATGTATGTCTTTGTAAGTATTTTTCAGATGGAGACTGTCATGAATCCAGTTTGTGTATACTTAATATTTTGCACTATACAGTGTGTATTTGGACTGTTAAAATCAGGTTTATATGATAATTACATGCACATATAACTGGACTTCCTATTTAAAATTACTGTCTGTCGCTAGTTTAAAGCATATGTATGTGTTTATGTAATTTTATATATGTGCGTTTGTATATGTAATTATCTACAAAGTAGGTGTGTGTATAAACCTTTAATTTCAATTTTACTTTATAGACCATATCCTTAAGTGTGAAAGGTCCTGGTTTGCAGAGAATGGTACTGGTTGATTTGCCTGGAGTCATTAGTGTAAGTATGCAATTAAAAGAAAAAAAAGTCTTTAGATATGTAAAAGTGAGGTCGTGCTTTTGGTGAGAACATTAACTATTGTTTTTCTTTTTTACATCTTTCTGTTTTCTTTTTTCTTTTAAATATGTATCTCCATATACGTATTAAAGACTGTGACATCAGGTATGGCTCCAGATACAAAAGAAACTATCTTTAGCATCAGCAAGGCCTACATGCAGAATCCTAATGCCATCATCCTTTGCATTCAAGGTAATAAGTCTAGTTGGTTATCCAACTGGCAGGATTTTTAAATTTTTTAATTCTAATTCTTATGTGACTTTGGGAACTGTCCTAATTTTATTTTTTTTCCATTTGTGGTAATTTGTATAGTGTGCAAACCAACATGCTGTGGAACATCTGTTTCTAAATGAAAGCACCTTTGGTATCCATGGCAAAAATCAACTTTTTGATAAAGAGTTTTTTCTCATTAAAATAAAATACAAAATTTTTCAAAAATGTTTTTGGAGGCAACAGACAATAGAGTTTAATAATTAAAGCAAGATGGTGCTTGTTCAAAACTTACACAACTACAACAAATGAATTCTTTTATGATACTAGAAACAAAGCAAATTTTCACTGTGTGTGCCCAAAAATTGAATAGAGTGTAATTTTACTGTTTTTAAGTAGTAACATGGAACTTATTTGATGCCCACTATATTTTCAGTACTGCATGTTAGATTACATTGTCCTTAAAATGTAACTTTTTGGTTTTGTTCATTTTAGATGGATCAGTAGATGCAGAACGCAGTATTGTCACTGACTTAGTCAGTCAAATGGATCCCCAAGGAAAAAGGACAATTTTTGTGTTGACTAAAGTTGATCTTGCTGAGAAAAATGTGGCTAGCCCAAGCAGGGTGAGTTTAAACTATTTTTCTCGTACTGTGGTGGCTAAAGTCACATATGGAAAAATACTTGAGATGCCATCACAAATATTGGACCTCATCTACCTATTCTAGATATTTTTGAGTGATTATTTGCGTATTCAGTATGAATTTTTGGGGTGGTTGTTTTAATCTCTCTCAGGCTTTGCTTTTAATGATTAGCTATGTGACTCCAGTCACAGCTTGGCTACATCTTGCTATAATACTGAGTCCTTCCATGTGGGTGACTTGAGCAAGTTCCATTTCCTGAGAAGGCTGTAGGATATTCTGGGATAGGCTTTTTCACTTTATTCTGTGTTTTGCTATGTTATGCCTTATTAGTTTCATGCTTTTATATATATTTTTTTTATTTTAAAAATCAGTAGAACTCATAGTCCTATGACAAACTTTCTTATAGAAGTCTATGCATAGGTACAACTAGATCTGGCTTTAAAACTGGACTGAAGGAAGAAATATCTCTGTGCAAAGTTAACCATGTTTTTTAATACTTTATTTTCATAGATCCAGCAAATAATTGAAGGCAAACTCTTCCCAATGAAAGCTTTGGGTTATTTTGCAGTTGTTACTGGAAAAGGTAAAGAGAGCTCTGGCTTTGCTTATTTTCTCCTTAATAGCAGAGAAAACTGTCTAAATGGAACTGTTGCAGCACTCTCTTCTTTCTCCAGGAAACAGCAGTGAAAGCATTGAATCTATTAAAGAATATGAAGAGGAATTTTTTCAAAATTCAAAGCTGTTGAAGTATGTTGCTATTTATTCCTTTTAATAAAATGAGCCTATGTTGGTAAATGCTAGCATCAGTTTTTCTTGTTGAACTTAGAAAAAGGATTGCAGTGTGAAAATGCTATTTGAGATTTAATCTGCTTAAATTAAGCATCTTGTTGAGGTGGCCAAGTTAGCCTTGTTTCCTGCTGCTTGCTGTAAGTCAATGGCATCTTCAGGCAGCAATTGGTTCCACTACCATTCTGAGCCTCTCTTGGCTCCAGAAGAACTAAGTTCCCAGCCTGTGTCTAGGCCATTGAAACAGCTGGGAGGAGTGAATCCAGCCCAAATATGAGTTGTCGTGCCTCTAAATATCAGTTGTCTTGGTGTGACAACGATGTTGTATTCAAAGGATTAGCTTTTTTGTTCTGCTGGAAGCTCATTGAGCGGAGTTTTGATTTCACAAGATTGTATTTCTCAGGAAAGTAACCTGCATGGTCTGGTCTTTGGGGCTGCAGTACTTGCTCTGCAACCTCTAGAATAAAAATTGATTTGTGGTGGGGTTTTTTTGGGCCTGGTTTTGGTTGGTGTTTTTTTTTATTTTCCCTTTGCTTTGATTATCTGCATTGAATATTTTGGAGGAAGAGACTGGAATTTGTATAGGTGCACATTGACATGTTATTCTCTGCTATAAAAAGCAAAGCTTTATTCTTGTGAGGAGGAAACTGGGGCCAGAAAGCGTGGGTATGCATACAAGGATTTCCTCTAGCTGTCTTTCTTTACAGGACATGTATGCTGAAAGCACACCAAGTAACAACAAAGAACTTAAGTCTTGCTGTGTCAGATTGCTTTTGGAAAATGGTGAGAGAGTCTGTGGAGCAGCAAGCAGATGCTTTTAAAGGTAAATGTTTTTTTAAAAAAACATGTGAAATAGCAACTTGCTGTTGAACAGTTAGTTCTATCACATACAACAATACTGTTGCCAGCATGCTTGGGCAATTGTGTTTTATGCGTTTTGTATGATCACCATTTCTCATGAATTGCCAATTGCCCCAGTTAATCTTCACAAAAACACATTAAAAAATGATTCATGGTATGAAAGACCCACTTGCTTTAAAAGCCAAAGGAGTAAATTAAGTATGAAGAAAAAAAATTCTTTTTTTTTAATGAGCAAAACACAATTCTTCCATTGCATTCAGATGTTGTTTAAAATGGCTTCCTATATAAAGATACCGTCTGATCAGCCAGGGCAGGACTGACTTGTCCAGAGCTGGAAGCTGAATGGCTCTTTTTCCACTATGTTTTTTCAATGCACGAATCCGGCAACTTGCAGACATAGTATCTTAGCAAAGCATAGACAGCAAATACTTGTTTGCAGAGGCCCTTAAAGTTCTTGCAGGGTTTGTCATAAGCAAGATTTGTGGCAATTTTAGGAGCTGCTAAACTTTTAAGATAGTCATGAAGTGCATATAGACAAAAAATTAAGGCCTTTTTTCTGATTTTTGCAGCCACACGTTTCAATCTTGAGACTGAATGGAAGAACAATTACCCCCGATTGAGAGAGCTTGACAGGGTAAATTACACTACTGCTTTAATTTGTCTGCTACAAAACGTTGAAGATTGTGGATTAAAATTTATGTCATTTAATCTCATTTGTTAAAGTTTCTTAAAGTTGACATAGAGTGCTGACATTTTAAAATGTGAAGACAGTGTAAATTATTCTAGGGGAAGGAAATACTAAGCTCTCTGTTTCATGAAATAATGTGCTTTACAGTTGAGATGCTTCAACACTTACCAAGTCTTTCACTCTTCTAGAATACAGTTAACTGACCTAATTTGCCCATAGGAATAGGTCAGCATTTCTCTGATTATGGCAGAACTGGTGAAGAGAGGTTACGTTCTCTGGTCTTTCTGACAGAGTAACAAGACAAGCATGATCCCATTCTCTAGTTCTTTTATAGAGATCCTGAATATTCAAGTGCCATGCCTGGCCAGAGGCATGCAAGAGATGAGTGGGAAGATGTATGGTAAACCAGGGTAGTTTGACAAGCATATACATTGTCCAGAACATGACCAGAAGGTATCATTTTAGGCTTAAAGGCTGTAAGAAAAAGGTTTTGCTTTTTTACTCTTTGTATGGAAACATGATCAAATTGTACTTGAAATCTTATTATTTCATATTTCTCCTTTTGCATAGAATGAACTGTTTGAAAAAGCAAAGAATGAAATTCTTGATGAAGTCATAAGCTTGACTCAGGTCACACCAAAGCACTGGTACGGTAATTTTTTTTTTTTAATTAACTAGCAGAAGTTTGCCTTTAAAATATAAAGAGTTTTGGTTAAACAAAATTCTTAAATAATAATACATTGTCCTCAGAAAAACAGTTTCTTATGTCCTCTGTCCCTGCGGAAGTAGTCTGTGTTTGGTTATTCTGAATCAGCACATACTTGTATAATCCATCAACAGAAATTATGATGTGAGTGTGTTTTGTTCTGGTTTTGTGCATATCAAAACAATATCTATGATCTTGGAATAAAAGAAACTTTGTGTATCTGTGAATCAGATTCGGGAGTTTAAAGATTATGTAATTCCTGGCTGTAAAAAGAGCTGATCTAGACATTTGAGAATTTTCATCCTACATATGGATCTCATTGGTAGCTTCCACCAAGTAGCAACGTATTATGATGCCCTGCTTCTTTGTAAGGCAGACAGAGGTGTGAGAAAGAGCTAGCTTAGCCTAAGTATTTTAACTGTGTAGCTTCACTGCATAGTAAAGCCACTGTAGATGCAGGCTGAGAGAAGGATAGCTGAGTCAAGGATTACTTTGGCAGCCTGTGCCACAACTGAGAACCACAAAAAAGATTTCTTTAGTGCCTTTGCCTGTTACCTCGTCATAGATTGAAAACCAAGATAAAATATCTGTCTTCTAATGACATTAAAATAATCCTGAGCATGTGGATGTATTCAGAGAAAGTGTTGTAGGCAGTGTATTAGTCTGAAGTTATGTTCTAGCCCAAATGTAATGTGGGTTTGCCATTTTGGTGTTTGATGTGTAATAGATGCTGAAGTACCCTGGCCCATGTCTGGTCGGCATTGTTTTATGTTGTAAACTGGGTGGGTGCATAACATGAGTGTTTGTGTGCATTTCTTTTGAAAGTTAAAATGTAGTGGTGATTCTATTTTTATGACACTCAATGAGTTATAAAGTAGAACTGAAAACCCAAGTCATGAAAAAATGTCTGTTAGCCATTATGTGCAGCCGAAAAACAGCAGTGCATTTGATGAATGCAAATGTTTCTATCCTGCTAAAATTCTCACTCCTTCCATTAATTTGATTGAATTGAACAAAGCAGAAGTATATTTTTATTGACATGTCAGTAAAGAAGGAGTGAGATGGCATTTGTTCTTAATTCTAGCACTGCCCTTCTCCTACAGTGCATTTATAAATGGTAAAATCCATAACAGACATTTTCCAACACACCCAGTAAGTGAAATTAATTTGCCACATCCCCAGTTCTTTTAATGGTGATCAAGAACGATCAATAATTGTTCTTTGTTTAAACACTATCCAAATCATCTTGTTTTGAACAAAGCTTTTTAAGGAAAACATTTTTTATTCTTCAGCTCTTAGCTCTCACCATTCTGCTGAATCTGACATTCATATGACCTATTGGTAAACTGATTTATCATGCTGAGCTAGCATAAAATTAACCTGCAAAAAACACACAACCTGTACTGGAGACTGTGGCAGGAGCAGAGGAGCATGACTGCCTCTGTGGGACTGGCTGTGTGTTACACTGGCTCAGCTGAGTTGTCTCACTGCAGCTGCAAAGTTTCCTGAATAAGTTTATTGTAATTTAAAAATGTTAAAATTAGATTGTTTCCATTGTTACTTCTTGAAACACATCATAAATAGGAAAGTGGTGCTTAGTTTTGTAGTGACATGAGGCACTTGTATAAATGAATGTCAATATACGTTTTGGTAAAAGATCAGACTTCTCAACTTGCTTCGTTGTTTATCAAATCTGGGAACAATCAATGAAAATCCCATATGGAAAGTTACAGCATGTTCCAACAAACAAATCAGAATACTACAGAAACAAAACCCATATATTTTTTTGGGAGTGTGGCCTTTTTAGTCAAATCATTTCAATGCCTTGCAGTCTGCCCTCTTGTCATTCCCCACCTGCCATGCACACGCACACACAGGTCTGCATGGTTATACTGGTATAATTAAAGATTGCATTGCTGTGCGGTGGCAGCCGTAGGAGTTGTAGAGTCCAACTTCTGAAGCTGTCTTTGCTGCTGAAAACATTGTATGTTTGCGTCCTTAGTTCCAAGCAGATTTTGATTGAAGTTGTGTCCTGATGTTAAGGAGTGTTTCCTGTGTTCTGTAGTCTTATTTTCTGTGTTTCGAACAAATTGAATGCATACTGGTTAGACACATTTGTATTAGAAGCCATCATATGTGTTACAACTTCCATTTTAGGGAGGAGATTCTTCAGAAATCTTTATGGGAAAGGGTATCTACTCATGTGATTGAGAATATCTACCTTCCAGCAGCACAGACTATGAACTCAGGGACGTTTAACACCACTGTGGACATCAAGCTGAAGCAGTGGACTGACAAGCAACTGCCTAATAAAGCAGTAGAGGTAAGAATTTAGTTATTTTTAAAAATTAAAAAAAAAAAAAGTCTTTGCAAAGCATGATGAAATGAAGGCATAGCTCCAGAGAAGTAAGGTGACGGTTTGAAGGGCTGACTGCAGTTCTTCTAACCTGCTTGCATGTCAGAAAAGGCTAGCAAGGTCTTGATGTTGAGAAACATATACGTTGTGTTTTGCTCTTCTGGTAAAGTTTCCCTATTAAAGACCAACAAAACACGTTTTTTAAAAGGTTAAACAAACCCTTCAAGCTAGGTACATTTGTTTGTAATAGCTTTATGCAAGTTTAACAGAATTCCTCTTGCTACAACATAGTGAAGTAAACTTAGTGTTGACTTCATTAGTAATGGATAAGGCAGCAAAGGAAAAGTCAGTGACTTACTCTTATGCTTGTACGTTGTTTTCGAAAAGTGCAAATTTTTGTACTTAGAAAAATTGTCATAAATGTTCCTTTACCAGCTGGTGCGTGGTGTAACGGTCCATTTCAGCAGGCATTGTTCACTGACTTTCTAGGTGGCATGGGAGACTTTGCAAGAAGAATTTTCCCGTTTCATGACAGAACAAAAAGGAAAAGAGCATGATGATATCTTTGATAAACTGAAACAAGCTGTCAAAGAAGAAAGTATTAAACGACATAAATGGAATGAGAGAGCGGAGGATAGCCTGGTATAATGTAGTGGGGTTTTTTGCATTTTTGACTAAGTGATGTTGAAATATTTTTACTGAAGTTGCATATTCAGTATTTTTGCATTCTTTTAATGTAATCATAAAATTATAGGGAGATGTGTCCATCTCTCCTTCTGTTTATAATGTTTTAATTCTATGTTTCTCAATTCATTTTACTATTACCTTTTTTAATGGTTGCCCTCAATAGCATCTAATAAAATTGTTTTGGTTGGTTCAGGGAAATGTCCTCCATAATCCACTGGCTGCCCAAGGACAGCCTTGTGAGAATTGTTTGGGATTAGCTCATTTGTTCTGTTAAGTATAGCCACGTAAAATAACAGCATTTCATTACCATCTTTATAGATTCTGTAATCCAGAGGGATTTCATGTTTGCTGTGTTTTTTACATTATTTGTGCTAGGCTATAGAAGAAAGTCAAATTAAAGGCACAAGAAAATATTTTTGACAGTGCTTTGAAAAGTGCCTCTTGAATGAATCCTATGTGCCCAATACACACTGTTTTTATAGACAGCAAGAAATGAAGAGAATGTCAGAAATCTTTTATTACTAAATCCTGAATAAATGATTTATTTTATGCTAAAATGGTGTTCTGTATTGCAGCGAGTGATCCAGCACAATGCCTTAGAAGATCGGTCAATATCTGATAAACAGCAGTGGGATGCAGCTATTCATTTTATGGAAGAGACACTCCAAAGTCGTCTCAAAGACAGTGAGTTGTGTGATATATTCCACTCTTGTGTGTTTTTTAATCTGGGCCAATTTCTGGATCTAGTTCACTTTACTGCAATGCAAGCATTTGTATCAGCACAACTGAGATAGTGGTGACAGTTTAGAATGGTACTGATACTCAGAGAAATGTTTAGCAAAATACAGCCTCTAAGGCTAGTGTTCTTGCAATGATGCAACTGAAAGATAAGTAATAGAGATCTGTAAAGTCAAAAAATTGTGCAAACACGTGTAGAAGAATAGGATAAATTCAGGGAAAGTGGTTGGTCCATTTATGGTTGTCAGGCATAATTAATTTTGATGCAAGTTGCAACAAGGTAAGATTTTTTTAAACACTGGACTTGGAACCTGGAGGGCTGTCTCAGTGGAGGGGTGTTATATTTTTTTATGTACTTCTTGAAGCATCTACCAGTTGGCAGTCATTTTTTTAATTTTAGTAAAAGACATCAACTGTTGCTTTAAGTGAAAGACATCTAACTTGACTCCGTATGACATATCTTATGTTGTTAAGCATAAAACATCTATTCTTGATCTTGTACGTAATTTTAGAACTATAAATTCATTTTAAGTGATAGCTAATATCATGTTTCCTTTCTTAGCTGAATCTGTTATTGAAGATATGGTGGGTCCAGACTGGAAAAAAAGGTGGTTATACTGGATAGGCCGCACCAAGGAACAGGTAAAAGGAAAAAAAAAAGAGAATTTGTAGTTCACTACCTTTCGAAAACTTTGGTTATTACTCAGTAAATTTCAAAAAATACTAACCCTCTTCACACTATTTAGATGATTGCCAAAAAATACTACTTTTAAGTACTACTCGTTGTTTTAAATACTACACCACAGAGAATTCCATATGCTTTTTTCGTATTGCAGATATATAGTGGCTTGTAAACTGTTTTCCATTCTTCAGCTGACTTACAGCTTTGCTATTATGCCATTGACCTGAATATTTAAGTTCTCTCAGTAGAAAGAAACTGATGAAAACAGAGTGGAAACTGGGCTATTCTCCTGTATACTTTCCAAGCATTCCTTTTAAGCAGAAGTCGCGTGCAGTTTCCCATCATGCTCCATTTGGATTTAATCAGTATGTGATTCTGTATTTCTACGCATAATGAAAAGAAAAAAAATATACAAAATTGGCAGTGAATTATCCATTTAAAAATACTGTATTTAAGATATCTTTGCACAAATACCCTTTTGAGTCACTCAAATATAATAGTTAAAAGTCAGGTATTTTCTGTTCTAGGTTATTAAGCAGATAGACTGTTTATTGAGGAGATGCTGATAATCTCTGAGTCTATAATAATTAATTCTAACTAATCATTCTTATCCTAGAATATTCGTAACGAAACAAAAAATGAACTTGAGAAATTAATCAAATGCAATGAAGAACATGCAGCTTATCTGGCAAATGATGAAGTGACGACTGTCAGAAAGAATCTTGAAGCAAGAGGAATAACAGTGGACCCATGTCTGGTAAGATGCAGAATTGTAACAAAACACATGGACACTCTGTGAACATTTGAATGTTCTTTCTAGACAGCATACAAAGCACTCCATCTAAATATTGAATTTGTAATCCACATGTTTCCAAATTAATTACTAAATGACTGCTTGCACGCAATTCACACACTTGTGTTGGCTGTCAGACAAATGCGGTACAACGCTTTGGAATCTGTCAGTTTATACTGAAATTAGAATCTGCTGAGCAGATTTTTTTGCCTGCATTATCACAAGGCTTGTTTAAAATTATTGTTCAGATGTTATGTAGTGGAATCAAAGCCTTTGAGCAAGATGCGATAAAAACGCGTTGTATGTTCCTAAACTTTCTGTGTGGTTGTATGTACAGTTTGAAATTCATAGGTACACTGAAGAGAGGGAAATTTTGTAAAAATACTTGGGAAAAGGGAGGGATTTTAGGGTGCCCTGAAGGAATGTATTGTCGTTTAAAATGTTCTGGTAAATGTTTTATCTCATTGCAGTGTAAGGCTCTTAACCATAATTAGACCTTTTATCTAATTAAATGTAATATTTTAAATAAATGAGAATCCAAACATTAACAAGTAATAGATGCAGATTTCCTTTAACAGTGATTTATTTTCTGCGCCAACTTTGGCTACCTTTTCAACATTAATGCATGTACTTACTCAAAGTTGGAGAGTTATTTAAATACCTGCTGGCCCTTTCCTATACACCATTTACTATACCTTTTTTAAAGGTCAGAGTAGTGATCCACATCCTCTACACCAGGAGATTGAGTGCAAATTGAATTTCCTTTCTAGCTAAGCAACTGATTTTCTTAATTTTATTTTGATTTTTTTGAAGAGCCGTATCTATATACATATTTAATTTTGAAGAACTGGAACATAAATAAACCTAATCAAGAAAAGTTACAAATGTTTGTTTACGTAAGACCCATTAAATATTTATCTGTGCTTTAATCTGGTTTAATTAATAAATTAATGGGTACCACTCAAAAATGTATTCTCAGTTTTAATGTGAAGATTGCATCATGCCAAGAGCAGAACAATTTGTCCTGTTTTGCATTATGTAGTTTAAAAATATTTTGGCTGCAGACTGTATTTTTAAGCATTCAGTTATGTTACAATCATGGAAGAATAGATTTTTAAATTGACAGTCATCTGTGATGTTTACCAAATGTAACTAACACATTAATCATATCCCAGTTGCAGACAAACTGCTGAGAAATATTTAAATATACATTACATGACAGCAATAATGGAATTTGGAGTTACATTTTAAAATTAAATGTGATCGTTAAACTATGCACGATAGTGTATGTATTTATTTAATCAAATTTAAGTACTGTTTTCCTAGATTAAAGACACATGGCACCAAATTTATAGAAGATATTTCCTGAAGACTGCTTTGAACCACTGCAATCTATGTCGAAGAGGCTTCTATTACTATCAGAGGCATTTTGTGGACTCAGAGGTAATTTCAAGAACCAGATATACACTGGTGTTTTCCCTTAATATTTCCATCTCAATTGGGGGAAAAAACCTACAAATACTTTAAAACTAGCATAACCTTTCTTTTATATCCTTACCTTGAGATAGCTGGTGATCTTAGGTATGTTTTACAGGAGGCTTGTAACTGATAAAATGCCATCTTGGTGGTAATTATATAAAGTGACCTCTAGGTATCAGCCATGACCTAAACATCTGTTATTTATCAATGTGTATAGAAAATGCACTGTTATGAGCAGTATTGTACAGCTTTTGGTATCTTTTTGGTATCTATTTCTCCCACTTTCCCATTGATATTTATTTACCTCATTGACAGGAAAAATTCAGAAAACATTAAGTAAGGGGAGTTTGTGGGATAAGTATGGTAAGTAAGTGTTTAGAGTTAATGCTTGGAACCACATGTCATCAACAGAAAAAAAACAAACAAACACAACAACTCTGTAGCTTACAAACAGATCTTTTAAATTACTTTTCAGTTTTGTAAATGCAAGCTTTTGCAACAAATGACAGTATGCACGAAGTTGCACAAAGAAAAGATATATGGTTTTCTTACCATTATATTTTACATCCAAAAAAAATTACTGGAAAGGTAGAGCTCCTAACTTTCTGTGGAGTTTTGTTTTTCTTTTTGGTGAGAAATAATGATACCCATGGAGCCTGAAATCTTTACTACTGCAGAAATACCTTTGCCTGTAAGAGGTGAGAGAATGAGATCATAGAGCAGAGAGCTGCCTCTCTGTGACACTTAACCTCCTATTCCTGTTATTGTCTTTTTAAGGTGTCCTAATGGTGAAGTTAGTGCCCCCTCCTGCCATCCTTGCAGGTGTAGAAACTGTCTCTTCTTTTGTTAACAAATGTAGCCCTTGGCCCAACACTGTCTTCAGAAGCATTTGTCAAACCAGGGAGTCACAACGTGGAGTTCAGCTGTTGTCTTTCAGTGTGTTTGCTATGAACAAGTGTGGTGTTTCAGTGAGCATTAGGTTATACTCACCAGCCTGCATATAGTGTGTGCAAATTGTTCTTCCATGATATCCCTTGATAATGGCTCTTTCTGTTGAAAATAGTAGATGTAAAGGTGATTAAATAGGGCTGACACGATCCTTGAGAAGTATTTTCTGTGTGTTTCCTTCTTACTTACAGCAGTTATCCTGTGGGGTTTTTGTGCAAGATCAGGATCTGTATACATGAGCTTACGCTTGCTGCTAGAAGTGTCAAGAGATACTTTTAAGCGTAGGATGTTCACTGGGCATCAGAGGTCTGACACTGCAACTTCCTCGTTTCAGCTCGAATGTAACGATATTGTCCTCTTCTGGCGAATACAGCGGATGCTGGCAATCACAGCAAATACGCTGAGGCAGCAGCTCACTAACACCGAAGGTGAGGCTCATAGTGACTTCAGGTGTTTGAAACAAAAAACTGGTTAGAAATTTTCTAGTGTTCCTCTAGCTGTGTGATCTTTTCATGCTTAGTATGACTGGCTGATTTTTGTGTCCTGATTAAGTAGTTAAAAGATGTAGAGTAAATGGAATTTGACATTCTGTTTACATCAAAGGAATTAGTGTAAATAGAATGTCAAATAGTTAAGACACTCTACAGTTTAAAATATTTTCAGCTTACATTATGCTAATTGTCAATATCTTTTTCCAAGCAGGAAGAATTTTAATAAATAGTGACTATTCTTTTTTTCTCAGGTCAGTCTGGCTTTAGATTTTAATTTAAAAATGGTTGATATAAAAAAATCAATCCTAATGGATTTTTTTAAAGCCGTGCAAAATATACCATATAGTATCTAGACAAGCTTATACAACAGCGGCTTCCTTGTGAAGCATCCTTTATGTAGCAATCAGCTAGTGCCATGGTACAGCTACTAATAATGACCTTTGATCTGTAAAATAGTTTTCAACCTGCTTCTTGAAGAAGGCGCAAGTAAAAGATTTGAACCTTGTCACGTCATGCAAGTGACCTCCACAGAGAATAAATTGCCCCTAAATGTAGAAAGCTAGGGCCTGTCTCTTCAAACCACCTACCTCACTGACAGCTGCTGGACTGAAAATTAGGAAGTTTCATTGAGAGGTATTCCCTGTAAGTACAAAGGGCAAGGATATGAGTGTTAAGATAGACATAATACTGCTTGAAAGAGCTTTTGATTCCTCTTAGCCTTGTATATACAGCAACGCCTCTCTGTGTCATCAGTTCTTCAGCTTCTTTTTCCATCTTTCACCTTTTATTGACTTGGCCTTTGTTCATCTGATGAGGGTGGTGTTGAAAGCAAAAGTGTAACTGTTAAGAAGGAGGCAGCAAGGATACTTACAATAAAAGATTTGCCAGACAGTCTCAAAGAAACTGCTGAATTTAATAGACTGCAAAGCAGTCTACAAATATTTTTCTCCTCTTAAAGTCATCCAATAATGATTTATTTCAGAGGGAAAATATCCTTTGAAATGTAAACATCTTTCTCAAATAATTTCCTGCCTTAATGGCCCAAACAAGGGGCTTATGTGTTCAGAAGTTTGCCTTTTCTCCAACTACATTAGTTAGTGTGATGACACACACTGTCTCCCACAGACCTTACCAAAATTTTGTCTCTAGGTCATTTTTTCATTTGTTTGTTATTTTGGGTTTTTTTTACAGTAAGGCGCTTGGAGAAGAATGTAAAGGAAGTGCTTGAAGATTTTGCTGAGGACAATGAAAAAAAGGTGAAGCTCCTAACTGGCAAGAGGGTCCAGCTTGCGGAGGATCTCAGTAAGTACCTACTCTATAGTGTTTTGGAACTAGCTTGATATGAAGCAAATTCTGACCACTCTCCTTGAGAACATTTAATGTGATAGGGGTTGTTCAAGTGCTAGCATTTAATTAATACCACAAATTGAATTTTTCTTAAATATGTCACTTTTGAAATCCTGTATCAACCTTCATGTAGCTGTTCTTTTAGAGTGAGTGGAATGTGTTTTACAAAATCAGGCTTTTTCCGCTCTCTCTGTATGTTGAGATAAAACTAGTGGTAGCCTGCATAGTGAATATAGGTATTTAGTGAGGAAGTTACCTCCTTTTATTAGTGAGCAGTGCTACTTGCTTTCTTGTTTTGATGCTGGATGTTAATTTTTTTCCCAAGCAAATACTTGTATAGAGTGAAACTTGGAGATTTTGATTCATCCTTAAATATTCCATATTTCAAAACAAAGTAAAGGAGCTCTAGCAATTGCATAATGTTTAAGTTAATCTGTCTTTATTTTGCACTGAATTCCAGTTGGAATTTTTTGCATCGTCAATTTTGCTTCTCACCAGCATCAGGAATAACCTCCCATTTCAATGCAGTTTACAGCTGGGGTTGTTATTTTGTAAACTAAGACTAGACCTGTAAGAGCAGCCTGTCTGTATGTTAATAATCCTAGATATCTGTGTATTAGTATATATGCTTCAAGTTTGTAGTGTGCATTTCATAAATCACTGTGTAGCGAAAACACCATCACTGCACTCTCTCTCTCTTTAGATTCAGGAGGTCACAGATCCCACACGCGTTATTCCAAGGAAGTAATTGTTATTCAGTATGAAACGATATATGATGACATGTTCCGTTTTATTGTACCTATGGGAAGATTTTAAAACTACCGCTGTAGTCCAATCAGCGATGTTCTCTCTTCTTTCTGCATGCTTTTATTGCTAAGTGGTTAGAATTTTTATGAGAAAATGACAGGAAAAAAGGATTTCTTTGCCTTTCCCTTAGCGAACAGAGTGCTTTTCTGTGATGCAGGCTTTTTTATACTCCTGAGACAAGACTTTGATATCATAGAGCATTGAACTCTCAGATGGCTTACAAGTAATTTCTTTCTTAAAGCATTTAGTGATGATCAGGACTCTGCTTAAGGAAAAGAAATCCTGACTCCCACAACACACATTCATAAAGCATTTGTATTTTAATTAGGAATGGAATGGATCTCCTGAATCATGAAGTCCAGTCTGTCTCTGTTCCATGCAGCTGTGTTTATGTAACCCACCTCATTCACATATCTTGAGCTCCGTCTTTAAATCAGTTAACTTGTTGGGGCTCACTATTCATACTGAAAACATGTTCCAGGATGTTGTTCCTCTGATGGTTACAAACGGTCTTTTAATTTCCAGTCTAAATTTGTAAATATGAGGCTGAGCTTCACTTCCTGATTGGAAACTGTACTTGCAAATCTAAATTATTTATATACCTGAGGTTGGGCTACTTCCTCTTGATGCTTATGATATGGCAACACTGTCTCTCTTCTGTTACATCAGTCTTGATGCTGAAGTGCTGGAAGTGTTTTATTGTTTGTTCAGGATACTGGTTAATGTCAAACTGTTTCTAACAGGGGTGACCAGTGTCATAATGAGAGCTCATATAAGACTCAAAACTTATTTGAGCAGGTTTTGTTATCTATGTTCTACAGCCTTGAATGGTATTTTAACTCTATGTATGAATGTTCCTTTGATGACCTTTAGACCCTGAGTCTTGCTGCTTCTCACTGTTTACTTCTCAGGTTTTATTCTAGATAAAGAGTGTAAAATCTTTTGATCAGTTTCTAATAAACTGCGTATTTTCTAATGTATTGAAGGTTGCTTTTTCTTAAAAAAAAAGGCTTTAAACGTAATGTAAACGTACTCCTTATCATAAGTATCATCATGATACTTGTACCAGTGAACAATTACTAAGTTTATGGAAATAAAGAAGCCCTAGGACTCAAGACCATCTGGAAGAAAAGACTGTAAGATACAAAAAGGGGCAGAGCAGATGATGAATAGCTGAATTGGAAAAAGCAGCTTTAAAAATGTCCTAAAATACAATGAATCTGTAAGAATACCTCTACTGAAAGAGACCCATGGTAGGTGTATCCCAGTGACCTGTCCCTGGCAATGAGCAGGCGTGGATACTTAGGGAACAGCATAGGAACAGGTTAAAGCACACTATAGTACTTGTCTGTTATATTCTCTCAGCATCTGACAATCTGTGGTTCCAAGATTTCCTAATCCTGAGGTAGTATCTTTGTGATTAATAGCCATTCATAGATTTTTTTTTTTCCCTCCTGTGAATTTCTCTAATTGCTTTTTGAACTCATGTAAACTTTGGCATCTGCAACATCCTGTGGCAATTAGTTCCAGAGTTTAACTACACATTGTGCGAAAAAGTACTTCCTTTTGTTTGTTTTTGAGCCACCTGCCAGTTTCATTTGGTTCTCCTTAGTTCTTGCACTGTGAAAAACATTCAGTAATCTTTCTCTATTCATTTTTTGTGCCACTCATGACTTCATAGATGTTTACGCTACCCGAGCTTACTCTTCTTTTTACTGGCTTGGAAAGTTCTCATCTGTGTAGTTGCTCCTTGCATGGACATTGTTTCATAGCTTCAGTCAGCCTTGCCACTCTTTTCCCCTTTTTTAGTTCTACTAAAAGGTTTTTGAGGTGAAAGAGCAGAACTGGATACAGTATTGGAAATGTGTCTGCATTATGGAATTATACAGTTGCATTATGCTGGTTTCTGGCTTTAATCTGGTCTTTCTACAGTAATTCCTTGTAGTCTATTTCTTTTTTTGCCTGCTGCTGAGCAATGAGCCGATTGCTGCACTGGACTATCTACTCGGACTGCTAAGTTCTTTTGTGAGAAGTAACAGCCAGTTCAAAGCCCATCGGCCTAGTCATTTTCCATACTATGTTTTTTAAACTGTAGGTACAGTCGAGATATGTTTATTGTTTTGACGAGGATGCAGAAAGAAGAGGAAATGGTCATCTGTCTCTTGCATGTCTAACTGGGTACTTCGAGCATATTCAGCAATTGGTAGGAACCTGTTTTACCGCAGTTGTTTACAACCTCCCTCACAACTCTGGTGCATTATTTATAGCAAAGTTCTTCACCAAACTTGTCTGTCAGTTGAAGAACATTCCCAGATCTTTCACTCTATCTTGGATAGCCTCATCAGCAACAGAAAGAATTATATTTACTTTCTAGTTGGTGTGTGTATCTTGATTGTTCTTGTTGCTGAAAGACAAAATATTTTTGTTTGAAACTTATATTCCACACAACTTAATACTTTACTATACGCTTAGTTAAATCAGTATCTGAAATATACCATGTGGTAGGTCCTGTAAGAAGTAAAATGGGTTAGAGGGAGCTAAAAGTACAATGGTAAACATTAGTATTTTAAGAGAAGAATTTCCACTCATAAAAATGCCTCTGGTCAGGACTGCCCTGTTTGTGTTGCAGGCTTTAAGGCACTGCTTGTGACTGGAGGGAAAATCTGGTACTTAATGGTGGCAAGTCAGTCCCTTCCAATGCTTACGGCTGTTACGCACAAGTGTGTGTAGCTGTACGCAAAGTTTTTCCACTTTCTCTTTTTTTAAAATATTAATTACCCTTGTTTTTACAATACCTTAGAAGATGGATCAGTCAGTAGATATCCTTTAATTCTATCAGCAATCTTTTACAGTATTTAGTAGTTCATGCTGTTTTCTCCTGTATTCATGTTTAACGTTTCCAAAGTAACTGACATTGAATTCATACAGGCTGCCTTTAAACTTACTGAAAATATTAAAATTTTAAATGTATTTTAAAATGGGGGGAGAGTTTCTGCAAAACTTGTTAAAAACAGGGTTTTTTTTAAAACTGCTGACATTTGCTGAGTTTTAGGATCTTTTTGATGGCAATGCTAAAGTGGGTTGATTATTTATATAAGACTATTCTCTGAAGTCACACCTTCCCTAGAACTATATCTCTTTAATTACATTTTTCAGTATTGGGTAATACTTTTTTTTTTTCTATTTTTTTCTATTGTTTCTATTTATCTTTTTTGCTGTTCTATTTTTAACACAAATGATAGAGTAGTAATTTCAGCAGAAATATTCTATAGTTCTATGCGAAATTAATAGCATGTGGATAACTCTTAACTTTCTGTAGACTATTTTTTAACATGGCCATTTTTTAAATGCTCTCAGTGAAAAGCCATTTTTTAAAAGCTCTCAGTGAAAAGCTTCCCAGAACTACCTAATTGTTTCCAGAACTCTACTCTGCTGGACTTGCGCTTTTATATAATGGGCCAAAGCAAACTTCCTCAATAGTGTGAACTTTGTGCAGTAATTAAGGTGCCGTACAACTTTCCAACACAAGATGGCAATGAATGGCCTTTACAGGAGTGGGGAGGTTGAGCATGCAGCAGAGCTGGTGCCAAGCCTCCTTCTCTGGTTATTTTTTCTTGGTTTTTGATGCATGAACATGACTTGGGCAGTGGGCATTGGTTTCTGGGAGGAAGATGGCACTTGCCTAGCCTTGTCCTTCTTGTTTTCCATTCTCTGGGTTTTTTTGTTTTTATGACATATAATTTATGAAGACTTCAATAGATGGTGATTTTTTTTTTTTTCTCAGTTGCTGCATGGAAAGTATTAGTTTAGTTAGCTTTGTTACTAAAAAAAGCTGTTATAAACTGAATGCTTTAATCATCTTGGAAAGAAAATGGGATCTTCCAGTGTCTTATCTTAAACCTAAGCTACATATATTCATATTGCAGTAGGATTTAAAACCTACTAGGTGGTGCAAATGTACATTGAAAATTAAGGTGAATCCTAGCTTCAGGCAGTCAGCAGGAGCTTTGTCATTGACTTCACTAGATGTGAAATTTTACAGACCTCAAAGAAATACACACACTCTGTCTTCACTTAATTCTTCTCCTTTATTCTTTCTAAACAGGTAAACTATGAACTTTGCAAAGGAATCTTTTATGTGCACGGGA